CATCACACGCTTAGGGGGAATCTGTAGACTGTCATCACACGCTTAGGGGAATCTGTAGGCTGTCATCACACGCTTAGGGGGAATCTGTAGACTGTCATCACACGCTTAGGTAGACTGTCATCACACGCTTAGGGGAAATCTGTAGACTGTCATCACACGCTTAGGGGGAATCTGTAGACTGTCATCACACGCTTAGGTAGACTGTCATCACACGCTTAGGGGAAATCTGTAGACTGTCATCACACGCTTAGGGGAAATCTGTGCACTGTCATCACATCATGACCTCAGTGCTTTCTTGTCGTATCTCTCCATTTTTAATAACAGTGAAAACGGATCATAACAAAGAGTGAGCTTAAGTATAAGTCACGTTTTCAATGTTGAAAAAAATGGAGACACCACAAGAAAGTACTGAGGTTGCAACATGCTTAGAGGAAATCTGTGCACTGACATGGTATACCCAGAGAAGTTTTGTATAGTGTATTTTTAGCGTGTTTTGCACTTCGTTCATATCCTTGGCACAGGCATGGGAATGTAGATTTGTCTCCTGTTGGGTGAAACATCACTTAGTAGTTTGTCTATGTCTGATATTTTTTATTGTTTCTGTCTGATATTTATCATCAAATTTTTGTTTCTCGCTTTTAGTTTCTCTGAGGGGTTTACTTCTTCTGTCTTAACAGTTGAGGATTTGTATAGAATGTGTGAAACATATTATTGTCTGTCTTTTGTGATAGAGTGCTTATTATCACTTACTTTGTTTCTGTCTGATATTTATTTTATAATTGTTTGTGTTTGACATTTATTATAATCAATTTTTTTTTCTCGCTTTGAGGTTCTCTGAGGGGTTTATATCTCTTGTCTTAACAGTTAACGATTTGTATAGAACTTTTGAAACATATTATTCGTCTTTTGTGATGTAGTAGTAGTACTTTTTAAAATTAACTCAACATTTTCTAGAAGATTTGTAGAAATTTGTAGTCTTAGTTCTTGAAAATGGGGATAATGATAGCCTTCAGTTTTCCTATTATTTTCTTTATGTTTCATCTTGTTCTGCTTTGTTTGGCCGAATCTTTGCACCTAGTGACCTTGTTGTTTAGTCCTGGCCTTGACTGATTCTGTCTTGTGGTCTCGTGGACCGCTGTGTGCTGCACTGCGCTTTTTTCTGACACCAGCGGTGTGCTTACTTCACCTGGCCTGTCTGCTGCAGTAGGACGTTCCCGTTTACTTTGTACCGTAATTGTGGGACGTAGTTGTGTACCGTAATTGTGGTGGCTCTCTTGATTTCACCACGCTGCCTCACGTATAGTTTTTCTTTATATTGTATGTATATATATATATATATTTGTTTTTGTGCGAGGCAACGTAAGAAAAAATCAAACTAACAAAAAAAAGGCTGCAAGACTTCGACTGTTTTGAATTTTTTCCCAAGGTCATCATCCTCACATTCATTACATTACGCGTGTTACTGTAGTTTTATTTGTTGTAGAGTGGTCCTTTAATTAATCTGCTTTGACTGACGGTGCGTCGATGTAGAAACTGCTTTATGTGATCCAGCCTTGACCCTGTACTACGGGGTTTTTGTTGAGCTTACGCCAAGTTAACGTATTGTCTGCGTAGTTATTGTCTGAGTGGTGAATATTCTTAGAATAGTTTTCAGGAAGGGGGTTGGATTTTCACACCGTATGTACACAATGCTTTTACCAACTTCCCGTACCCAGTACCTGTTTTGAGTTTAATGTAATACTGTTCCAAAGGCATGAATTCTAGTTTGGAAATATAAAAAATACTCTCTTAAGTAGTAACTGATAACTGATAAGTATCATTTCAAGCTAGTTGTATGAAATTAGTTGATCTTACTTGCCCCACCCCCCCTCCAGTAATTCAGTGACATTAATTTGAAGTAAGAATTTAAAGGATAGGAATGAGGAACACTGATGAAAGCTGACATAATTCTAACAGTGAGTGGGTGGACAGTATAGAAAGAGAGCAGAAACCCTTTCTTTTTTCATTTATTCTAATCACATTTTCTACTACTTTGTTTTGGTCCAAGTTTTTCCATGTTGACATTCTACAAGAGACCTAGATTAATTAAAACTGCTGAAAAAAAAAATTCTATGAATGTCAAATAAGTATTGAGTCACTTGCTCTGTGTTCAAGCCTTCAAAAAGGTGTTAATAAAATGTGAATTTGAATGATTAACTACAATTTGAGCACATGAGTACAGATTTTGTGGTAGGGAGAGAGCATTTTTTTTAAGAAAATGGAAACACAAAGCAAAAATGCTATTTATTATTATTATTATCAACGGTCTTATTCTTTGCGGGTATGACTTTCATTAGGTCACACCCAGGTGAAGAAAGCAGCCATAGTTGCTGTCACTGCTTTTCTAAAAGATGGCTTTTGAAAAATGTCCGTTAGTACAGTGGATGAATTACTTGACTCTTGTAATAAAGTACCTGTTAGTCTTGTGGATGATTGACTGTGGGTGGTTGACGGGTGCTCTGGTGTGGTTTGCTCCTTCTTTCCTATCAAACACCTATCATCCTTATCTCCCCTCCTTCTTTTTTTGTGTTTGTTACTCTCTTGTAACACCTCTAATCTTCGACACTTCTATGACCTTATTGTGTTGCAACTGCTGTAAAACTCTTACTAAAAAAGAGAGAGATGATTGACTTTTCCTGTCATCCTCCTGTCTTTGTGTCAAAGAGAGGTAAGAAAGTAACCGTTTTGTCATCTCGTTTTTCTGGTCAGTCTTTGAGATCTGTGTACTTGTTATCTTGTTGCTCCAAGTTTGTTTTAGTTCTTACTTTCTTTTTGAATGTTGGTCTGTCAAGCTGAATTGTGTCCATGTGTGTGGGTGGTTGGCGGGTGCTCTGGTGTGGTTTGCTCCTCCTTTCCTATCAAACATCTGTCGTCCTTATCTCCCCTCCTTTTTTGTGCATGTTACTCTCTTGTAACACCTCTATTCTTCGGCACTTATATGACCTTATTGTGTTGTAAGTGCTGTAAAACTCTTACTAAGACTAACTCTCCTCCGCCTTTTTTGTGTTTGTTACTCTCTTGTGACACCTCTATTCTTCGACACTCATATTGCCTTATTGTGTTACAAGTGCCGTAAAACTCTAACTACTAAATCTAAACAAGTGTCCATGTGTTTAAACTATTCCAAATGGAAGTCAACTTATGTGTATGCACATCCCTTGTCCTTTCCATCTGTGAATCCCGGACACCATTGAAAGAAAGATCACAACATTTGAGATGAAGAATATTTTTTAAATTATGTAGTAAATTATGAGGTAGATCTTAAAGAGAACACAACATGTATTTCTCTCGGCCAAAACATTTTTGTTTTTGCACATCACATGGACCCCCCGGGGCAGTGCCACTGACTGTAGTGACCCCCCAGGGCAGTGCCACTGACTGTAGTGACCCCCCAGGGCAGTGCCACTGACTGTAGTGACCCCTCGGGGCGGTGCCACTGACTGAAGTGTCTTTGGGCCATTCCCATAGGGGGGACATATCTCGTTCAAGCATAGTAGAATTGTAAATGGGCTGATTCATGTCACGCTCATAACTGTGCCTGATCTACAACAGGGAACTGCTACTTTTTCTTTCCTGATCCTTACTATTGTCATTTCCCTCTACTTCTTTTGTATGTTTGTCACTCTCTTGTGATCTGCTATTTCCGGGGTGCCTTGATAGTTGAAGCAGACTTTGTGCTGTTGAAGCTAGAGAGGTGAGCAGAGTAAGCCTGATTCCCTGTAAAGACTTCTCTGTTGACACCCACCCCTTGGCGCTCATATGACCTTATGCAGTTGCGAGCGCCGTAAAACCCTGTACTATATATATACACATGACATGGATGAATGGAGGGCCGCCTCTTTTGTTTCTGTCTGCCTGTCTTACTTTTTCCCTGTACCGAAACAATCATGATTGTTTCAATGTGCTTCTCTTTGCTCAAACAATCAAGCTCAAGAAAGTGGGTGGTTGGCGGGTGCTCTGGTGTGGTTTGCTCCTTCTTTCCCATTAAAAAAATCTATCTCCGCTCCTTTCTTTTTTGTGTTTGTTACTCTCTTGTAACACCTCTAATCTTCGGCACTTATATGACCTTATTGTGCTGCGAGTGCTGTAAAACTCCTACTAAAACTAAACAAGCTCAAGAAATACAATAAACAACACCCCCTGTAACTTTAGATGGGTGGTTGGCAAGCGCTGTGGTGTGGTTTGCTCCTTCCTTTCTATCAAACTCAACAAACATCTATCGTCCTGATCTCTCATCCTTTCTTTTTGTGTTTGTGACTCTCTTGTAACACCTCTTGTCTTCAGCACTTGTACCAGTATGACTTTATTGTGTTGCGAGTTGCAAACTCTTTACTAAAACTAGAAAAGAAGTCACCCTGCAAGATGCCCTATATTTCAGAGAGCTATGTTATGTGACAATTTCTAATTTCATTGTCGTGATTGTGTATCATGTTCATTGGTCCGCCACTACCCTCTGCCAGTAAACTTTGTATATGTGATCATTTTATTATATATGTGAGTCAGGGGAGTGTGTGTGTGTGTGGTGTCGTGCATGTGTGTGTGTGTGTGAGCAAGTGCGTGCGTGCATGCTTGTGTGTGTGTAGGGATTGGGAGCATACAAATTCTCATTATCTTTTAAAAAAAAAAACAAATTCTCATCATTATCATTATTGCTATTTTTATGATTATTTATTATCATCATCATTATTCTATTCAGAGTCACATGCTGACCAACTTAGAAGAACCGGTGCGGTTCAAGGAGAGCAGCGCGCGGCGTGCGCACAACTTTGAGGAGTCGGGGCGCTACAACCCCGGCCGTCGACCCCTTGACCCCCCGCCCACGTACAGGAGAGACTATGAACACCTGCCGCCGATCCTGAGGGAGGAAGACATCTACCTGCTCAACGACTCCAACGGGCCCGCGCAGAAGGAAAGTGTTTTGTGATGATTGGGTGAGTACTTGAGTACTTGATCCTGTGTTTTGTGATGATTGGATGAGTACTTGATCCTGTGTTTTGTGATGATGGGGTGAGTACTTGAGTACTTGATCCTGTTTTTTGTGCTGATTGGGTAAGTATGGTACTGTTAGTGATTAGAACAATTAGGATGAACAAGTTTGTTGATGATTAGATGAGTGATTATAAACAGACTGTGACAAGTTTTGAAATGATTAGGTAGGTATGGTACTATTAGTGATTAGTACAATTAGAATGAACAAGTTTGTGATGATTGGGTGAGTATAATAATATTAATAATAATGATGATGATGAAGATCATTTCTATACTAGCGTTCACTCCCGTATGAACACAGCTCTAGGCGCTTTACATAATGGTACATTAGTGATTAAAACAATTAGGATAAACGAGTTTCTTGATGATTGGGTGAGTATAATCTATACATATTATATTTGTGAAAGTCCGTCACTTTGACCGCCTATAACTTCGGAACCACTTAACTTTTGAATTTGAAAAAAAATAATCGTGGTTCAGAATCTTTTATAGGGTGCACGGTTTTATTGAGGAGCCTGAAGTCACTTTAGTGTAATTTTCAGTTTTTCATTTGTTTCGTTTAGATCTAGTCTTGGGGAAAGTCCGTCTTCTAAGATGTGAGGTTTCCGTTCATTAGCAATGCGCATTGGTTCCTCAATTACTTGACGATCAATTCTTTTGAACATCATTTCTGTAGCGCCCACTCCCATGTGAACTCAGCTCTAGGCGCTTTACAAAATGGTACATTAGTGATTAAAACAAGTAGGATGAACAAGTTTCTTGATGATTTTGTGAGTGATTAAAAACAGGCGAAGACAAGTTTGTCGATAATGAGAGGAGCAGTATTAGAGAGGAGGACAATTCAGGTAAGGCAAGTTTCTGCATGCTCCTGGTGAGTAATTTGTGTCACGACGCGGTGGAATTGGGTACTCATCAATTTTTGGGTATATTGAGTTTTGGTACCATTATAAAGCTCGTTCCTTTGTCTTGATTGTGATTTTAAAATTACCCATCTATCTTGAATAGAAGTCGGGGTATTTGCCATTGAAGGAGGTGTTGGTCACCTGATTTCAGAGGTAAAATTAGTGAGAAAATGGCGGCCAAAATCTGGTGTCTTACATAGCTTGAAGGACCTTGAAAACAAATAATTTACTTTATTTTGTGCTTTTTATTTTTACCAACTTTTTTTCTTTGAAATCTTCACAGAATTGTGTTTTTCAATAGATATAAAAGGTGTTGAACCAAAAAACAAAAATTGCAAAACCTGCAGAAAAAGGCCAATTCTCTGATGTCATTATTTCAAAGACGAAATTTACTCGTTAATCTGATCCGTACGCTTTGCATAGCAGTCTGTCAAAATGATTTTTTGAGAAATACTGAAAGTTAGAGATCTTCATTCTAGAAGTATTCTAAAATGTGAAGAATACAACCTCGGGGGTGCTAAATGACCCCAGGGCGTACGGATAAGTTTAAAAAGATATATTTTCCACATTTAAAAAAGATGTTTTAAAAAAATTATATTGAAAACAACACTGTTCCTAGTGACAGCAGTGCTGAAGTTTTTTTGTGTCTTTTATCTTCCTGTGCCAGTTTTTCTAGGGTTTGGTGTCAACTTTTGATGTAACTGACCGACGGTCATCTGTAGTGAGAGACCAGGGAGGAGTTGACTGACGCATCCAGTACCGAAGAGAGAGAAAGAGATGCTCGTTTTTCTTCCAGTCGTGTGGACAGCCTGCAGTTGCAGAGAGAGAGAGAGAGTTGAGTCATTTTTCTTCCACTGGTATTGACATCCTGCAGTAATGGAGAGAGAGAGAGAAAGAGAGCGAGAGAAAGAGCGAAAGTTTGGTCGTTTTTCTTCCACTGGGATCGTCATCTTGACAGACGTTGCTGCGAATCGGAGCCATGACGGACGGAGATATTTGCTATGTGTTCTATACAGGTTTGTCAGCTGTGCTTAGATGTGATCTGATGATCGAAATTGTGTCGATGGGGACGTAAAAACACTTACATCTTTTTTTTAAAAAGGAGATTTGATCTTGGCCAATTTTCTCGACCCCAGTGCTTTCTTGTCGTATCTCCATTTTTTTAAAACATGAAAACAGTTCATAGCAAAGAGTGAGCTTAAGAAGAAGTCACATTTTTAACATTGAACAAAATGGAGATACGATGAGAAAGCTCTGAGGTCGCGTGTTGTTTGTTGGTTTTCAAGTACTCTGCTCATTTTGTGGCGGCTTCCATTGTGTCTTGTGTCATGACCCTCTCTATGGGTCGTCTTGCCGGGGAAGAAAGTCTCTGTGCCTCAGTCTCTGGTTTTGTTTTGTATTTTGAGCTGCTCTGAGAGGAGAATTGTCAAATCTGGGGGGGGGGATTTTTTGTCTGCCCTGGGTCTTGAGGGTGCAATTGTCAAACCTGTTTTGTTTGTTTTTTGGCTGTCCTGAGAGGGGAACTGTCGTACCTGGTTTTGTGTTTTTTGGCTACCCTGAGTCTTGAGAGTAAATTATCAAACCTGTAGTGTTCATGTGGGTGGTACTTATTTATATGACCTTTTCTGTGTTGCAAGTGCCGTAAAACTAACTCTTACTAAAACAATCATTGTTCGTCGATCATGACCTAGGGAGTACTTGAGTACTGGAAAAACAGGGGTTGTCACAACGGTGGGGTGTGTGTGTGTGTCTGAGTGAACTGTGTTGAATGTAACCTTTGTTCTCTGTGAAATGGTGCGTTATGTCGTTGTCCGAAACAGGCTGGCCCTTTGGTGAGATGTGTGGACAGCCTCATTCCACAGTTGTTTTAGAGTCTTTTTTGTGCAAGTTTTGAGAAAATTGAAGGAAAAAAAAAGCAGAGCCCAAATACACAAACAAGACTTTTTTTACACACTTTTTTTTTTTAAAGCAAATATCAAAGAAAACAAAACTGAATTGTCAGATGCCTCTTAATGTCGTTATTGGAATTTCCAACAAAGGCTTTGTCTTAAAATCCCGAGAAAATGACTTGGACAATTGTGGAATGACACTGAGGAGATTACTTTGTTGGTAGGCATAATGATATATTATATATATTATAGGCTCTGTTTTCTAGTTGTGTGGTTTGTGTAATTAGTTCTAGATTCTTCCTGCTGTTCACAAATGTGTCACGGCGTGGTGAAATCAGGCGCTCGTCAGTTTTTGGGCATATGGGGTTATTGGTGTCATCATAAAACTTGTTCATTTGCCTTCCTTTTGGTGGAAAAAATATCCATCTATGTAGAATAAAAGTCGAAATATTTGGGATTGAAGTAGATCAGGGTCGCCTGGTTTCAGAGGTAAAATTAGCGAGAAAATGGTTGCCAAGTTTGGTAACTTCCATAGCCCGAGAGTCCTTGGAAACTGAAAATTTACTTTTTTTTTCTTACCTTTAATCAATGTTTTTCATTAAAATTCAGCCCCAAAAAATGTTTTTAAATGGAAGTAAATTGTGTTGAGCTAAAGAAAAGAAGAAAATTTGAAAAAAAATTGCCCATCGGCCAAAAAAAATGCCGATTTTTTTTATTTCATTATTTTGACGAGCGTCTGATTTCTCGAGGCTTCTTCACATATATACTATAGGCTCTGTTTTCTAGTTGTGTGGCTTGTGTAAGGAGTTCTAGATGCTTACTGCTGTTTACAAATGTTGCTGTTCTGTTTTATTTCGTTTACTGAGAGGGGGGTGGGGGGAGGGAGTCTTTTTTATCTATAGGCACTGGTTTTACCAACTTTGCCAAAAAACGCAAACAGTTGTAAGTTTCTGTACTTATCGGTTCAACTCTTAAGAAAATAATAAACTTCCTTTAGACTCAACATTGGTGTATAAATGTGTTTTTGATCAAGGTCAATCATGACATTCATAGTGACGTAGTCCGGTTAATTGAAACTTAAAGACGACCTGATGCCAAAATATTTGTAATAAACCACGGCATTTTCGCTCTTTGGAAATGTTAAGCAAAACATGGTCACAACTATGTCTAATGCAGTCCTCCTTTCCTCAGTGAAGGGTGCAGATGTAGTGAAATATGGAGGCTGTTTGCCAACGTTTGTGTAAAAATATAAATTGTGCAGGGTTCTGAAAGTTATAGTAGCATTGGGGGGTTGGAGGGGGGGTGGGGGGGTGAACAGACTCAATGAAAAAATTCTACAAATGTTTGTGTGAGTAAATTAACACATAAAATATAATAGGGTCATTTCATTAAAGGGGGGTGGGGCGGACTCGCTGAAAAAGTTCTACTCATGTTTGTGTGGGTAAATTAACATATATATCAAAATGTTTGTTTGTTTGTTGGAAGTGTTGTTTCTCAGCAAAGCAAAATCTTACGGAGAGTTCTGTAGACGGTCAGTGTCAGGCATTACGGTGCTAGAGTCTCTTTTGCACTTCCCAGGGAGTACAGCAGTATTGTCGTAATATCAAACACCTGTGTGATTATTGTTCATCATTTGATTATGCACTTGAAGACTACAGGGGGGAAAACGACTATAGTCAAAAACTGAAAATCGTGAGTGTTCCAATTTTGAACACCTGTTGACTCCTAACTGTATTTCTGTTCAACTGTTGGTTGATTATATATTATTGTTGTTCGATGTCCCATTCAACAACACTTAAGAATAAACCACCAGTCAAACAAATATGAAGTTATGAGTCCACAAGCTTTTAAAATTGGCACCCTCACATTTTCCAGTTTGTGACTACAGTTATTCTTCCCCTGTGCTCTAAATTTGTGTCCTTGTGTTGGGAGTTGGCTGAGTGTTGTTTCAATAGTTGGCTTTGATCTTGTATGGGCATAGGTTGTACATGTGTAATGCATGTGCTGTTGACCGATAGTTCTTAGTTACGTACTTCACTGTTCTCTTTGACCGTAGCTCCACAGTACATACAGTGTTGGTGTGTTGTACATGTGTAATGCATGTGTTGTACATGTGTAATGCATGTGTTGTACATGTGTAATGCACGTGTTGTACATGTGTAATGCATGTGTTGTACATGTGTTGTACATGTGTAATGCATGTGTTGTACATGTGTAATGCATGTGTTGTACATGTGTAATACATGTGTTGTGTGTAGACAGATAGGTAGGTACCTCACTGTTCTCTCTGACCACAGCTCCCCAGTCCAGTGTTGATATTTCAGGAGCTCAGGGTCTCCTCTGTCTTCCTGGCGGTCTACCCCGCGATGATGCGCTCAATTGTTGTTGTAAAGTCAGCACGCGATGATGCGCTCAGTTGTTGTTGTAAAGTCAACACACGATGATGCGCTCAGTTGTTGTTGTTGTAAAGTCAGCACGCGATGATGCGCTCAGTTGTTGGTGTTGTAAAGTCAGCACGCGATGATGCGCTCAGTTGTTGGTGTTGTAAAGTCAGCACGCGATGATGCGCTCAGTTGTTGGTGTTGTA